ATTTTATAGGTTCGCACAATTTTCACAATCTCCAAGGGATGTTGAAAATATTTATATATCATACTTAGAATTTTTTTTTTATTTGGTTATGTCCCTGCAGTATAAAAATTTATAGATGACATCAATACTATAAGTTTTTTTACTAAGATTACGTGAATTCCACATCACGTGAAAAGCTTAGATAGAAGGTCTCAACATGTAGAAAAGAGTCATCTGTACGGTAGATTGTAAAAGTTTTCATGATAAAAATAGGTATATTGTTACATTAAGCACTTATTTGAAAAAAGGTGCACTAATATTTCTTATTGGGTTTTGTATAGTTATCTGTCATGGCCAACGATTCTTGTCAATTATGTTTACTTTTGGCAAAGATATAATAAAATCAAATTTTCATTTAAATACGAAATAAGCTATACTTGCAAATATTGGCTTTTTAAAATATTGATCTGGTTGTAAATCACACGGAGTTTTAAAATGTTATGATTAAATGTTGTTAAAAAAATATGGCTTTATAGTCTACCATAATATATTGTGAGTGCAATGTGTGACTTTATATGATTCACAAAGTTAAAAATAAAGTGTCAAAATGACAACCAAAAAAGGCAGACAAGTACGGAACAAGCAATTTGACATGATTGTGTCAAAATGACCAAAAAAAATAAAATATTACACATTATCTGGAAGTCCGCATCACTATGCAGTATGCATCGGCCGCAGGAATGGCTGATTTATTTGTAGTTGTGTTAGAATGTGCACATGGGTAAACGAGACGTTATTTTTTAATTGTTTCGATGCAATAATTTTTTATTTATAACAAGTGTTAAAGATATGAATAAAAGTTTTTTTAAAAATTGCTGAATACTAAGACTTAATAATTGTAATCAGGTTTAATTCATCTTTCATCTTTTTAAAACAGATATTCATTGATTTATGATTTTATGAAAAGTTGTTGCACGAACTGCAACAACAAAGAGATATAACTCTAAAATTTTGGTAAAGCTTGTGTTTTTTGATATTGAAATTAACGGAAATTTTCCTCGTGAATCAAAAAAAAAAATCCTTTTTACAGGTAATATAAATTATTATTTTACAAATTCTTACTATGGATTTAGCTTTATCCCCCCCCCCCCTCCATCCCCCAAAAAATAAGAAAAACCGACAAAAATTATGCTCTTTTTTTCATTAATTTTGATAGGTTTTACAGCTACATTTAAAACAGTGTATATTCAGTTACGATTGTAAACTTTATACATGTATGCGTAAACCATTAGAAAAGATTTCAGCTACTTTTATCTATATCCAAGAATATTTTAAAATATGCTTATGCTTTCAACTCCAATTCCAATGGAAAAGATACTAGTAATTCACTTATTTATAAAAAGAGCTGAAATTAAGAGTAATTAACTATTTCACGCTGGTATTAAAATTATTATACAATTATCATTGCAATCTGACTTTATAGCCAAATTGACAATTGTATTGATTTATATGGGTGTAAAATGTAGACGGGAATCGTGAGTTAGGGTGCGTAGTTCTTTAATTAAACTTACCGCAATGTAGTTTTTCTAACAAAACATAGATTTCTAAGAGAGAGGGTTCGGTATAATCAAGGATTAAGGTTAAAATGTATAATTTTATAACCAACGACAAGATGACCAACAGGTTTTTTAAACATGTTGTGACGAACTCAACACGCGTTTTACGATTTAAAGTAAAATTTAACAAATATAAAATATTTAAAATTACAGTCAAAATTCTTTAAACACATAAATATCCCATGGCAACATTTTTAGCTTGGGTCTTTAAGACTTGGTTGCATAATATATACATTTACGTGTATATATACGTTCTACCGGCACTCATTTTAAATACCATTGCTCCGTGAATATGATTTTGTATACCAAAACTTTTGAAGTGTTTTAAACTTTCCATAGATTGTATTGGTTGATACGTGCTCAAAATCTTTGCCATGGGTTAATCAAATAAAAAACTTTTCTAAGATGGTAATTGCATTTTATTTATATCTCCCTGATTAAAATTTTACAAAAATGGATTGAAGAATCTTTAACAATTGTACATGAACGTGCTTTAAATACATTCTATGATGTGTTGCTAAGGAGAAATTGCTGTTACCATGGAGATATGAAATTGTAATATGAACTTAATTTGCAGAAAAGTCTCAAAATTTTAATTTATTGTAAAATTTATTTAAATTATTGAAAAATGAGAAGTTATGTGATTTACGACTTCAGGAATGTACATATTTTCTCTTTTTATTCATAAAAACATCCATTTTTGTTGCTTGGCAACGAATAGGAATCTCAAAAAATTATACGTTTCTGAATTCATATTCTAAGAAAAAAAAAATCCTCTCCTTTAATATTATAAACATACGATGTCTGTATTAGGTCCATCATTTGAGTAATTGGACATTGAATAATTTCAAAATTAAGGAAAATGCTAATCAGCAAAAAAGGTAAAACATGTATATATACCCATATCTATCATACAAATATCTGACATCATATTTCTATGTCTTTGATTTTGAAAGCACTTAAGATGTTTATCTTGAGAATAAAAGCAATAAAAAAGAAATTCCTCTATTAATTACATTTAATTAATGCCCCCAAAGATAAGGGATTTTTTCGTTAATCCAAGATGAAAATTGGCTAGTTGCTAAGGAAATTTCTTAACCAAAGTTTCCATAGTAACCACGTAGCAAAACATTTTTTATTTTGCATACATGCTTCATGGTGCAAGAGAAAACTATTTGTGGAAAATCATCAAATTCTGAGAACCTTCATATAACACCCTTTTCATGATTTTTACACGGAGCTGTACTTAATTACTTATTACTAAGTAAAACATAACTATTATTTTTTTCACTTTTCAAACAAATATTTTGAATCAGAAATGCCTTTCGTATAAAATAAATAAATGTATGAACGAATTGAAGGAATCATAAATTTATAGCTTCTGAAAAATACCAAACTTAATGTCTAACTGATGTTGCTCAAAAACGATTTATAGTCATAGAGCTTTCAATAATAAAGTGAAGATATTTAATATGAGGAACTCACTCAATTTGTTTTCAATATTTATCATGTTTTTTTTATAGAATGCATTCTCTACTGTTGATTCTGGTATTTGGTTCACTTTTTTCCATCGTTAACACTGACAAAGTATCACCACGACCCAGCCTTAAATCCTTCAGAGACGACTATGACAGTGTTGCTGAAACCTGTGTGGCTGTCGGATACGTAAAAAACCACTGCAAAATGAATCTGGACAGGAGTAAGATGCTTACCCAGCTACATCCTTGATATGATGAATATGTAATGAGCTCACATGTTCAATTTGCCATTTATATATATATATATGTACTTTATTTGTTTTTAGAAAATACGGTAATAGCATATGCATTTAACTCCAAAGCCAAAAAGAAGTGCTTGGGAGTGTAGGTTTTTGATTGGACAATAATGACGCACATGAACAAACCGGCGTATACCTCTCTGGTCTTGGATGAAAAAAGGACATATAACAATTGCCACAACAACAACTATGGTATCCATATGTCATGCAGTAAAATGGCTGTCGTCAGAATGGAAGCAGGAGATAAGGCTTGGATTGATAGCTTTGGATCATCATCTGTTTACTTCTTATATTCCTCTTTTTCTGGTTACATGTTGTAAATGCTCAGTAGAGATATGCAGTTAAAAATTAAAATGTAATTTAATATAACAAATTTGTTGTCTATCTTAGGTTCTACCAGAGTAATTTGAATATATAAGACTGACAATGTAATTGTAAATATCCATGTTTATATTCTGATTCCATTGCAAAAGGAAAGTATGCTGTCAAAAGTATTTTTTGCAATATGAACCATTTAGCTGCTTTTTTTATATATTGACCCAGCTAACGTTTTCCGTGCAAATTAGACCCCACCTCTTTATTGTAGCTCTAATTATGCTGCGTTCAGATAATGAATGAATGTTTTTAGTTTGCGAGTTAATAGCGTGTAAATAGCAGAGATTTGTCACGTAGAAGATTCCATCAAGCGCGCTAACGAAAAACAAGAATTCTGAATGAATTTTATTCTATGCATCTCGTGTAAATATATTCGAGGTCTATACCAGCTTCCATTTGGATAAATATTAGAGAATGTTTTTAAAAAAAAACTCTCCCTGTTTTATGTCATTTTAGCCCTTCATTGTTTGGGCGATCCATATAGAATTAAGGATAAAATTTTATAGTCGTTACATAGAAATGGGGAAAAACGGCAAATTTCAGGGGAAATTTATGCAACACAACGTCAATCCACATGACTGAATTAATGGAATGTTTGGATGTTTTGCTCATATCTTGAGTTATCTAAAATTTACTCAGGTAAAAATGAATATTGAAAATTCATGGCGCTATTCCTCTAACTGTTTCTAATTACCATTCGTAAATCGGTAGAGTTCTAAACATTCAAAAAGCTTGTTGTCTATTTTTACTGTTTTCAAATGCGGAGTTTCAAAAAAATACCTGTATTCCTTTCTTTCATTAAGTGAAAAACTTCTATGGTCGCTGAAAGAAATTATTTTTGTAATATACAATTTTACTCATTTACTTTTTTGCTATATTAGCATGATACATGTATTTATGTCAGAAATAAAACTACAGTATGCGACTTCACGACGTAAGCTTCACAACGTATTAAGTCCAGACGTCTAAAAAAACGGACAGAGTGGTATAAAAAAAAATAGCCTCCCCCCTTTTTTATTGCTGCATAACATAATGATGATACTATATACCCAGACAATGAATTTTATGGCATATTTATGTATCTACAACCACTTTTGAAATACTTTTCGTGAAATTTGGGAAAATTTCAGAAAAAATATTTTTTGTTGCTGGTATCAGATGATATAATTGCAACATGTTACCAAATGATAAGGTAGCACGCTAGGAATAAAATATATAAAAGCTGATACTAAAAAAAAGGATGCATCGTCATTTTGTGTTATCAAGTATTCAAAACGAAAGGTAAGAAAACGTTTTATACTAAGAATTAATTAAGAACAGTTTGATTAAGAAAAAAGATGGTAACTTTGTATGGAGTATATTTAAGAAATAAACAACGTTATTCAGTGAACATGGCGTTATGAATAGCAATTGCTCTGCTGGCATATTCCATGATGCGCGCTAGCGCATCATGGAAAATATGCCAGCAGAGCTATTGCTATTCATAATGCCATGTTAACTGAATAATCGTTGTTTATTACTTATATTTGCATTCTTTGATTTTTTTTTTCAAGAGTATCAGAGGAAATCCTGACTTACATAAGGACGCAGCTTCTTGTCTTCAGCAAAGAAAAACATACAGCTTTAAAATCAGTAAATCTGATTAATGCTCCTTTCCTCTAATAAATCACAAACAATTTATAAAGTATTTCCTTCTCAAACACAGTTATCTGAATACAAGCAGCGCTGCCATCACATTTTTGTTTTGATGCAGATGTGACGTCATCGATCAACGTTATTAAAACCCTCTGACAAAAATCAATAATTTAACACTATGACGAAAAATGAGAATGCTTTTATAATGATTATTACTCCAGAATGCTTTTCTATAATTCTTTTTTAGTTTTTCTATTTATTTTTGATAGCTGAAATCATTCTTGAAATAGATATACTATAGTTAAAGAAATTTTCTCTTTCTGAATGTTATTACCCAGTGTGAAGAGTTCTCGTTCTTTGTACAAATATGCATGATACGAAAAAATAAAAATCTGGCAGTTCTCTATAATTTTAAAAAGTTTTATTATACAATTAAATACATTGACCAAAATTGAATTTTTAAAGATATAAATCAGCAATTTCAAATATTCTGAATTTCCTTTTTTCAAAGAATATTATTAAAAACTTATTTTTATTCCTCTTATGAAACATTTCATATATATACTTCTCAACACGGCGTATAAGAGTAGTAGAGATTGTTCTACACGAGTATGATAGAGCAATTGCACTCATAGTAGAAGCAGTTGCGTCTATAGTCCTACGATCGCAGTTGATGCCTAGGTGTTCATAGTGAGAGAGAGTAGTGGATATATGCAAATATAAATTATTATGGCGCTATACGTAATAAAATGTTTTGGCATTAACTTATCACTAAGTAAAACATACCTAATAATTTTTTTTTTGAATTATATTATTATTAGAACTTTTTAGAATCAGAAATATTTTCATATAAAATAAATAAAAGTATAAACCAACTTAAGGAATCATTAGGTTATAACTATATTTTGTCTGAATAAGACTTTTTTTCTCATATCTCTTCATATTTCAATTACTCTGAAAACTACCACAATTAATCTTTGACCGACAATTGACATGATATGTTTCTCAAAACGATTTATAGTCATTGAGCTTTCAATAATTAAAATATCGAATAAGATAAAACTAATCTTTTTTTTCCCATTGCTTATTAGGAATTTTATAGAATGTATTCCCTAGTGTTCATTGTGGGATTAGTTTCCATTTTTGGCATCATTAATACTGACAAAGTTTCACCCCGACCCAGCCTTAAATCCTTCAGAGACGACTATGACAGTGTCGCTAAAACCTGTGTGGCTGTTGGATATGTGAAAGACAACTGTAAAACTAACCGGGACAAAAGTAAGAAATTATTGGCTGCAATTTTATGTAACACATAAGCATTGATCAAAAGTAATTTTTACATGTGCATTTAACATTTAAATTTTAGAAAATATGGTAATAGCATTCAATGCCAAAGCCAAAGGAAGTGTTCAATCAGTAAGTGATGGTAATATTGTCATGTTTGGAGAAGTCGATCTGAATGTAGGAGGTGGTTACAACGCGGTTAAAGGAACTTTCACCGCTCCCAAATCGGGAGTGTACGTCTTTGATTGGACAACAATGACGAACAATAACAAAATTGCTCACACCTCACTGGTCTTGAATGGTAAAAGAAGGGCATATAACCATTGTAACAACAACAACCATCATATTAACATGTCATGTAGTAAAATGGCTGTCGTCAGAATGGAGGCAGGAGATAAGGCTTGGATTGATAGCTATTCAGGAGCATCATCTGTTTATCACAAATACTCTTCTTTTTCTGGCTACATGTTGTAAATGCGAAATAGAGATATACAATTAAAATTAAAATGTAATTTAGTAACAAATTTGTTGTTTATCTTAGGTTCTACAAGAGTCTAATATGCATTTATGTTATATGACTGTGAATGTAATTGTAAATATCCATGTATATATTCTGATTCCATTGCACAAGGAAAGTTATACTATCAAAAGTATTTTTTGCAATGTCAGAAAAAGGGCTAAAAAAATTTCATCAAATATGCTGAATAAGCTTGAACATTTTGACTTGTCCGGGGTTAGCTTAGATATACATAGGAAGGTGAAAGAAACTACGTTGCAAGAAATCATGGTAATAATATACACATTGTTACAAACCACGGCTAAAATGTATGATCTTCTCCCATTCTGTTACGCAGACTCCGAACCGTGGTTGCAGACGATGTTTTTACATCACTTATTCCGTCTCTCGGGGTGACACAGGATGTGATTGAAAAACGGATAATTACTTAAAAGTCTTTTTATAAGTTTTCGATTGGCATTTTTTTTCTTTTTCTTTTTTTAAAAATGAAAATCAGGCTAACTGTATTTTTCTCAACTTTATCAGTATGAATAATACAGTATTAAAGTACAAAAGTCTATCATATTGCAGAAAAGAGAATTTATTCTAATACTGACATTTTACCTAAGTCATTCAAAATTAATTATCTTCTTCACTCTGTTCATCCGCAAATAAAATATTTCTTTTCTGAACTATAATTGAAAAGAGACTAAATTCAAAATAAACAAAACATTTATTAGTTAAAAGTTATATACCCAGCTTAATACAAGATATTTCAATGGTTTTTTTTCCTTTATATAATGTACAATTTAAAGTTTTGTATACAGACTTCCTCAACAGACTCCGGTGTTAAAATCTTGATCTATATTTAAGATTTAATGTACAATTCTTAATATATTCTTTAATTTTACTTCTAATGTACGAGGGGCGTAGCATCGCTTTTGAAAGTGGGGGGCCAGCCAGAGATTTTTTTTTTTACTTACCTGAAAAAGTTGACAAGCCAAAAAAAAAAAAGGGAAAAGTTGCCAAAAGTCGAAAATCCTATTTCGTGGGGAGGGTGGGGGGGGGGGGGTTAAGGTAAACTTTTTCTCAGTGTTAACTAGGCCTACTTTCATTACCAATTCTAATACTACATTTTCGGTACATCACTAAAAGTGGGGGGGGGGTGCAACAAGGCTTTCAATTAACATTTGCTATAGTATAAATACGCCCCTGAAATTATTATCATCCTTTGAAAATATAGGTCCACCACTGGTATGTAAGGTAGGAAATGACTAGAGGAGTTCCGAAACGTCCACTGTAAACATGGCTGAGAAACTTCAGAAAGGTAAACACGTGTTTCATAAAGATATATATTTTTCCTTTGATAATTTCTGATATGTTGTTTCATTTTTAAAATTTACGATACTAATAGATTCTCCAAATTCCAAAATAAATAAATATTCCAATGATTTGAATCCTCACAACGCATCAATGTGTAGTGGTAATATTTAGCTCGAGTTTCCTCGATGAACAAAAGACTTAGTAAGTTTAGTATTAGTAAGTTTAGTATTAGAGTTAACGAAAACTTTCTTATATGTACAAGTTGATTAGAAAATATATCATGAAGATATTTAAATGTTTGTGTAATAATAAAGTTAATAGAAATAATTTATATCACACGATTTTGAAAAAAGGAACATTCTGACATCAAAACATTCATATTAACTGATTAATCCCATTTTCAGTATAACATCTGTTATACTAGTACAAGTTGATATTCATTTTAAAAAATGAATAATGTCAGCTATCTAGGTCTTATCAAGGGTGAACAGGCATTTACCCCAGTTTTTATTCCATGTACACCCTGAGGCTGAAGAATATATGGAATACAACCTCAGGCCAGTGGCGTAAATCCTGTCCATTGGACATGGATCTACCAAATGAAAATAAATAATTTGCAATCACAATTAAGGCCAATCAACTGTTTGGGCTGTTGAGAAACTTACTGTTCATACTAAAATGTATTGTGACATCAATTTAGATTGATTTCATCATAGAGAAGTTATATACATGCATTTTGACTTAATTTAGCAGGAAACCCTGACTAAAGTCTGATTCACAGAGATACATATTATATCCCTATTTACAGAGGAGTTGATGGAGGATTCTGAGGAGGATGAGGAGTGGGAGGAATGCGATGAGGACACGGAGGACAGCCAGGTCACATGTCTCTTCTGTTCCCAGACCTTCACCTCCCCCGAGGTCACATTCACACACTGTACGACCTCACACGACCTTGACCTCGTCAGATGGAGCAGACAACACGGAGTAGACTGTATACAGTATATTAAGATGATTAACTATATCAGACTCAAGGTTTGTGTGTTATTTGGTATTTGCACATTGAATGGTTATCAAGTTTTCTGTTCATAGAGTTAGAGAACAAAGTCTTTGAAATGTTGAACTTGAGTCAGATACTTTGCATAGATATAATTTGATTATATATCCCAAGTATAATAGATTCCCAGACAAGAAGGTAGTTAAAGAAATCACTGAAATTTGAAATATTTGACACACATACCTCATGTACTTGTAAGACTTCAGTTAGATTGATTGTATATTGTTTAACGTCCCTCTCCAGAATATTTCACTGATATGGAAACGTCACCATTGCTGGTGAAGGGCTGCAAATTTAAGCCTATGCTCGGCACTTACGGCCTTTGAGCAGGGAGGGATCTTTATCGTGCCACACCTGCTGTGACACAGGGCCTGGGTTTATACGGTCTCATCTGAAGGATCGCCCCATTTAGTCGCCTTTTACGACAAGCAAGGGGGTACTGAGGACCTATTCTAACCCGGATCCCCACGGGTACTTCAGTTAGAACTGTTCTTATAAATGTTTAATAATTTTTTACTTTTTTCCTTCCAAATTACAGAAACCTTCACCAGCAGAAGTCAAATCCTCATTCACACAAGGTACCAGGCCTTGGGAGAGCAATGAGTTTATGAACCCAGCAGATCCAGAGGATTTATTACTGCAGTTTGGTGTGAAGTTTCAGTGAAAGATACAATACATTAGACACCTTGAATCAGAATCATAAAATCAGTGATATAACTGTTTTACTTTTCAAAAAATGAAAAAAAAATGAACTATTATGAACTAGCTATTTTAATGCTTATCTTGAAAAAAAAATCCATCAGTTTTGTTAAACACTTAAAAAAATGAAAAATTCTCTCTGTTTTGTTAAAAAACCTACAAAAAATATGTATACCAATTGATGCTATTCTTATATATGCTGTAAGTTTAGTTTAATCTCATTTCTTTTCTCCTAGTAGTTTTTTTGTATAGCCTCTTCCAAGTATAAGTTTGGAAGTGTTAATTAAATGTGATGCAGTATGTATATTATATCAAAAAGGAATTGTATTTTTTATAATTTGTAGACATTGAAGATGAAGATGATGGTGGCATGTGTGGAGTTATGGGCCCTGGAGGCAGTATCACTTTTGATGGGCCTCCATTAAATATGGAAAAATTAACCAATCAAAATGCTCCACAGAACAGTTCTTCGTCAGAGATGAATGGTGTCAGCCAATCAGAATTGGAGGCCACTTGTGCTCGTCTTAAGGGCGCAGAATGTCGAGTTAAACAATTAGAGGAAGAATTGAGCAGAGTTTTGGGTGACTTTGAGAAAGTGAAGTGAGTTTTAATTAGCAGAATAAACTCAAAAAAGAAATGGTTGCTGATGTATAGATCAAATATTTGTCTCTGATCATAACATATATCTTTTTGTTATTTATAGAAAGCAGTACTTTTATAAGAAATTTGATCAGATTACTGAGTTGTCAAGAGTTTATACATTGAAACTACACTGTAATCATATATGTTTGCCCAAAGGTTCAAAAGTGAACTCAACGGAAGAATATTCAATTTTGTGGTTAATACTGTATAACGGGTATTTTTTACGTGCTGCTAATTTTTACTAATTTTTACGAGTTTTATAAATCCGTAACATTTAAACGCGTAAAATTTCACAGAAGTGAAAAACGCCTCGCCTAAATTTTCAACATCTTATTATGAGAGTATTACAGTGTTATCACTGCCATTTAGCTAAGTACCAGGAGGCTATAGAATTAGTACTGACAACCTTTGGTAGATTTGGGGACTTTTTTTAATTGATCATAAATTAAGAGCAGACAAGGAAATCTTAATGCACAAATTATACAATCATCGTCAATTACCTGGTTACTCTTACGGGACGCATATATAATTTCTAATAATGGCTTAATTATTACAGACTGAAGCCTTCAAATTATATCCTTTTTTAAAGACTTTTTACTTTCTTCCTTTTTATTTGCTTCCAGTAAAAACTTGGACATTTTAGTACAATGTAATCCGTGCCCCATGTAATTCTGTCAACTTAATCATGATGGTTTGAGTTGTCTCTCTTTGTTTCCATTAAAATAAAGACAGGCACGTGGTGCACAACAATAATTATACTAGACGCGTGTATTAATTGGAAACAGGAATAAATGCAGGGCATGTGATATACAAAGGTATTTAAATGAATAAAATTAAACATATCATCATTTAATGATCAACACTTGTTATCACGGGAACAATTTCGTTTTTATTTGTACATCAGGTCGTCTAGACACATTTACATGTTAAAACATGTATTTGTATGTAAACGCATTTAAAATGCTAAATCATTCATCTGGAACTTCACCTCCGATGATTTTAATTTTTACGGACATGCTCAATTCGTAAAAATTTAACGCGTAAAAAATTAAATCACCCTACATGTATTCAACCGAATTTCGCAAAAATTCACAGCAGTAAAAATTACCTGTTATACGGTATGTATATGACTTTTTTCACATTTTATAGACCTCAGACTGATCTATAGAAGAAAAAAAAACAATCGTGGATTTATTTTAAATCTGAACATTTTAGGCAACACTGGATCTTCTCATTTTATTTGCAGAAAAGTCACCCAAGATCTGCTGATGTCACAACCCAGCCAGCCAATCAAATCAGAGAATGCTGTACAGATGTTGACAGAGGATGAAGATGATGTTTACTTTGGATCTTACGCACATTTCAGCATCCATCAGGAAATGTTAAAGGTATTGTTAAAGAGTCATTCAATTACACAACAATAATAGTTCAGCACATTTGGGCACATCAGTTTTGTAGGCCAGTAAATTTGTGGACACACTTTTTAATATAGTTTACACTGTTTACAATAATGTTGCTTTTAATATGATTATAATTTAAAGCAGACATCAATATTTTGTTGATACTTTGTGTAAGGTAATATGTGATGTGTTAAATTGCTATAGTTTTCATCCAAATTTTAAAGGAAAACCCTCGAAAATTAAATTAATTTTTCAATATTGAGAATCATTGTCCAAAAATTATAAAGATATTGTTAACAGAGACATGTTCATCTTTTCATGTACATTTTTGTTTCTATGCAGGACAAAGTGAGAACGGAAAGTTACAGGGATTTCATGTACAAGAATCCTGACCTGTTTAAGGACAAAGTGGTGTTAGATGTGGGCTGCGGGACTGGTATCCTCTCCATGTTTGCTGCTAGGGCTGGTGCCCGAAAGGTCATTGGGGTCGACCAATCAGAAATTGTTTTTCAAGCAATGGACATTGTCAGGTTTGTTGTAAAATGTGGGACATTACCCTTCAGAAAGTACCGTTTGCTTGGAAATGTTTTACCATGATTTCATTTTCATCCGATTTGCTTGTGTTTTAATATCAATGAAGCTAAAAATTTTAATGCAAGAATTTAACAGAAAAAAGAGTTACCTCCCTTTTAACACAGCTTAATTTTTATCTGCAAAATGTTAAAATGGAACCAAGTGGATTTATAGTGTTATGGCTGTGATGCTTGTATTTGTAATAAATACATTTGTATGTGCAGTGCACTAATTTAAAAAATATAACATTCTTTTATGACATGCAGAGAAAATGGGTTAGAAAACATTGTGACTTTGATCAAAGGTCGGATAGAAGATGTGGATTTGCCGGTGGATAAAGTGGATATCATCATCTCGGAGTGGATGGGATACTTTCTCTTGTTTGAATCCATGTTGGATTCTGTACTTTATGCCAGGGATAAATATCTACAGTCTAATGGAGTTGGTAAATACATGACACCACTATATTAAAATCCCAAGCATATGATTATATGCTTGCAGACCATCTACATTGTAGTAGTGCAAAAATCTTTGTGTTTGGAGTGCTCATTGTTTCTTTCAGTCACTTACATATTCACTGTATTTGTTGAGTAAGGCAAAAATTATCTTAAATTCCTCTGCAGATTTTAGTACAGTGTATAGCAAAATTTTGAAAGATAAACAACTATTCTGTTTATTAAATTAATGATTAAGTAGTGTTAAAATTCTATATATTCATGAATCTTAATTTTTTTCAGTCCACCCAGACAGGTGCACAATCGTGTTAGCAGCACTGGATGACCCTGACCTTCACACCAATCATGTGACCTACTGGGATGATGTGTATGGATTTAAAATGACTTGTATGAAATCTGAAGTGATCAAAGAAGCTAGTGTGCAGATTGTCAAGGCAGAGAAAATTTTGTCGGATCATGTGATTGTCAAGGTTTGTTTACCTCTACTCTTTATTTGGATCTGTCTTCCTTATTTGAACTTTCATTAGGACAAGTACGCTGATTATTTTGAGTGTTGTTCAAAAACACAAGATGGTATCCTTCTTAGCCTTAATATTTGATTATAGTAAATACTTTGTGCAAAGACTTATTCTAACTTCAGTGCTGATGCTGAATGTAATTGTAAGGTGTATGTCACTGTTTCAGTGTTTGATGTGACATGTGCACAAAATAATGTGAGCATTTCACTGCAAACAGAAAGTTTATCAACAAAATTATAATATCACATATATATATGTAGCATTGTATGATTGTAAAAGTTGTGTCTGTTTTGATTTGATCTTAAAAATAAAGAATTTTGATTTGAGTTCTCAAATGTCTCTTAAATTAGTATTTTGTAATTCTGTATAAAAATATCAACATTTATATATTGTAGGACCTAGACACCTGCACATGTTCTCTATCAGATCTACAGTTTTCACAAGACTTCATCCTCACTGCTACAGGGGAGGGACAAATAAATGCAGTCGTTGGCTACTTTGATATTTTCTTTCATAAAGGTTGTTCTAACAAGGTAAGATGGCTTATTCTGAAATATTCAAAGCCCAGATTAGATAAAGAACAACAGAGTTCAATACTTCTAAGGAGTGCATAACCAGAAAACGACTGTATAAGGGATTTGTCCTTAAAAATTGGTATTTTATTTTTAGCGAGACGTAATTTTGGCAATTTTACAATACTCAGTATAGAAAATATTAGAAATAAAATGCAGTTGATTTTAGGCGATCTTGAATTTTGGCAATCTTAGCCCCCTTGCCAAAAATGTCCTCTCTAAAAATTCTCCTGATAAGGTATTTCAAAACATGTGTAACTGGAAGTAGGACTCTTTTGTAATAAAATATCCTGGTCATGGCACCAGTTGTATCAGCTAGGAGAGGAATAAAAAGTGACAGACAAGACTGATTTGATCCTGGGATCCCTGAATCTTTTGACAAGGTGCTCTACTGAGCTACTTAGTCACTTGAATTCAAACCTGTTTGCCACACATGCCTACTTCTACCACTTTAAAATCATGTAACAGTTAAAATTGAATTATTTCATTTAATCCTCTGTATTTTTGCAATTAGAGGTAAAAGCAGTGTTAGATATTTATATTTTCTTTTACCTTGGAGAACTGCAGCATAAAAAAATAATTTATGTAAAGATATCAGTTAAAAATTCTCCATTATTTAAAGGTTGTATTGTGCTTCAAGTTGGATTTGTATGTTTGTATTGTCAAATGTATTGTTAGATATCATGTGATACTGTCAGAGACTTAATTGCAATTGATCACCAAGAAATCATTCTATAATTTCAGGTGATGTTTTCCACTGGGCCTCAGGCCACAACCACTCACTGGAAACAAACAATATTCCTTCTAGAGAAATCATTGAAAGTCACTACAGGTACATATTGAATTGCAGAGTACTGTTGTTTATTAGTTATGACACGTACAAGTCAATTTAAATACAATAGCCTTATTGGCAGAAACAACATTTCCTTTGTGTCCATGGAAGTGTATTGGAAGATGTTATCCCACATTTATTATTTATAGTTCTTTAAAATGTCGTTCATGTGTCTGGCCAGTTACGTTACGTTAAATGTAATCCTACAGGGTCATAATTATGCAGAATCAAGATTCGTTTTCTCTGTGGTTAGAAAGTGACAAAATCATCTTGTATTATCATTGTATACATTTTCAATGCATTTAAAGAAGACAATTTCCACACCAAAAAAAATGACAGCATACATAAATTAATCTCATGCTAGAAAATGTACTATATGTGCAATGTAGTATATATGTTTTGCAATTCAAAACTTTTTCTTTTTTTTTGAATAGGTCAACAGATCAAAGGTCACATTGTTTGCAAGAAGAACAGACGGGACCCGAGATCACTTGTGATATCATTGACATTAGATAATGTCACTCAGAATTTTTTAATGCAATAAATAAAAAAATTTTTTTGTTTCTTCATTACCTCAGTGGTCTTGTTGCAGTAGTTTAAATAGAGCATCTGTGCTATAGTCATGATGTAAGGAGTTGATCCTTACATTACAGGTTTGAATCCCACTGTAGAAACCGCAGACCCATATTGCAGTGGGTGCTGGCACGTTAAAGATCCCTCCCTGCTCAATGGCCCTGAGTGCCGTGTATATGACAAAATTTGCAACTGTCCACTGGCAAGTGGTGATGTCTTCATGAGTGAAAAATACTCCAGAGGGATGTTGAACAACAGACAAACATCGGTGAACATCTCTTTTAAGTGATAACATATGAGTATCCATTATTGCCGAGTGCCCATTATTGCAGATTTACGTTTGGTACTTGCACGTTACATTTATTGAGAATTTTTTTGAGAGAAAGTTTTAATTGTCCACAACAATTAAGCATGATTACATATGCAGGAGATTATGTCCTGGTCATATATATAGACTTAAACCTGCATGACCTCTATTCCATACTGGAAGATTTACTATAATCCTTGATCCATTTTGTATGCGTACTTGTGAAAAAATATTTTTTTAGTTACCCAAGAAATGTTTATTGATATACATGCACATGTGTATGCAGTTGAAATGATCTCAAACATAAATATTTCAAATGCTTGGCATAACAACATATGTTGAAGTGTGATTCTTATTTAGATGTAGGATAGATATTGGATTATCAAGTTGGAAATGTTTGGCTCTAAATATGTATGAATCATGAAGTCCACTTTTGAATTGAGAATTAATCTATTAAGTGCTTTGCAAGACTCTTAGAATGTCTCATAAAATCCCTATTTTTTTCGTTACTATGGCAACAAATCAAAGACTAATAAATATTATAATGTATCTCTATGCAGATCTTCAAGAAAAAAGTCAGAATTCAAGGTTAACTCCCTTTCTGGAGAACATATTTCTGTCCTTAGACCAGTGTGACTCATATTTCACATAAAGAGTGTCTTTTTTTAGGTAAAAGGTATGCAGTGATAACCAAATAAAAGATTTTACTGAACCAAAAATTACAATCCCTCTCCCCTTTCAACAATGTGAAATGTTTTCTGCATAGAAAATTATTGCCATCTGAGGGGTATCTAATTAGAACTTCTTAAGCTTGAATCAAGATAAAATAATCAAAAACTGTATATAATCAAGAGTATTGTTTTATTATAAAGGTAGCAGATATCAACAGTAAGTAATAATTTATGTACATTAACAATAAAGTGAGACCAACAGGGAAAAAACAAATTATATAAATAATACAAATATTGGATTTCCTTCTTTGTGAATAAATTGTTAAAATATTTCATTTATGATGAATGTAAACATGGATTGAATTTCATCTTATCAGAATGAAATTTGGAAACTTTACATAGTTTCAGATTCATAAAACTTGGAAAGAAGTTTAGAACCAGAAATAATATACATCTTTACAAACATGCACTTTCAATTTGGATAGGCTTTTCAAACTATCAAATCTTCAATTTCTCTTTAATAACAAAACTATATGAATGTACAACTTCAAAGAGATGTTCTGTTGCCATCATCTGTGTGAAATGTACATGTAATCTGAAAAAAATTCAATGAAGGCAAAAATATGCATTCTTTCGACACAGTTGCAGACAATAATGGCCTAAATATGGCCTAGCTACAATGCTAGTGTTGAGCAAAGTTTCATTTTCTACATGTAATTAATAATATAAATAGCACATGGAAGTGAATGTAACATCAAGAAACATATTCAACAATGATTAAATACAACCAATAGTAACCATGGGAACAAACGTAAACAAGATGAGTACAAAAAATAGTAAATATTTTAGAGCAAGTTCTTTGCAATATATATAAGGTTTCAGATCTGATGCAGGTATATGACGTTAATAACTTATTAATATAAATATCAATAATATATTACCCATTTGTAAATAAAAATAATCAATTTTAGATATTTAACATAGAATTCAAAACCCCTTGGAGAGAAACCAACCCTGCAAAGTCCACAATAAATAATAAATAATACGAAATTCTGTGACTATTAGTCATAACATATCATCAAATTTTAATTAAACAAACCAATATATTGAAAGTTGAGTTTTAAAACAAAGTACAGCAAAACTTGTTTAGTACGAACACGGATATTGCGAATTTACGGATATAGCGAAGTCATCTTGGATCCCCAACTATATAACTTTAATGAATTTCTTGTATGGTTATAACGAATTATGGATATAGCAAATAGTATCATACAGGTCTCAGTGACTTCGTTATAATCGAGTTTTGCTGTACAACACACAGAAAATATTTTTTCAATATAGAACTCAATTTTCACATGCCATACTTTATCCCATAGCCATATCATAAACATTTTGTTTTTTGTACATGAAATATTATGCATGAAATCTTTCATTGCACAGATCTAGTTTTGAACAGTCATTCTCTGACCGTAGTCAATAAGAAAATAAACTTACATACAATAACTTCAGCATTTTATCAATTTGAAATTGCCAAAAATAAATATTGAAATTCTTTGTCTTGCTGATGAATTCGAATTCATGTGTAAGTTTCAACAATGAACTACTCATTACATCAAAAATATTATCAGTAACACTTAAGTTGCATGTCCAAAATGAGATATGTATATCATTTTAACACAACAGCACCCCCCTTATCCCATCCCCCCCCCCCAAAAATTCCAAAATTTTAAGAATTTTGTGACTTTTTAACGAAATGAAGGGGGTCTATCAGCCAATATTCTTATTAAGTCCTATTCTTTTGCTTAAAATGCTAATATGTAGAAAAAAGTACATACTGCATTATGTAATTTTTAAAAAAGCTATCTAATATTTGCGTTTATCCATGTTGGGTCGTAATATTAGGGTACATTTGGGTATTTGGGTTGGCAATGTTGTCTAATATTTGCGTTTGTCCATGTTTGGACGCAATGTAAGAGCACATTCTATCCAGATATTGGGTCAGCCAGCGATTTTGTCTAATATTTGCGTTTGTCCATGCTGGGTCATAACATGAGGGCACAGCCTATCCAGATATTGGGTCAGCCAGCGATTTTGTCTAATATTTGCGTTTGTCCATGTTCGGTCATAACATAAGGGCACATTATATCCAGATATTGGGTCGGTGAAGTTGTCTAATATTTGTGTTTGTCCATGTTCGGTCGTAACATAAGGGCACATCATATCCAGATACTGGGTCGGTGAAGTTTCTAATATTTGCGTTTGTCCATATTCGGTCGTAACATTAGGGCACAGTCTATCCAGATATTGGGTCGGTCCAGCATGGCCTGCCACATTGAAATCTCCTCTCCATGGGCGTCCATCCAATCCACTGGCTTTCCATAACTTTTACCTGAAATATAAGTTTTACTTTAGAAACAAAATTGCAACAAAATAAAACTAACTAAATGAAATCAATCTGATTTTTTTTTTTTTCAAAACACAACCTGACCAATATTTAATCTAAAATGGTCTTTGAATTTGTCTAAGAACACATATGACCTTGACATATTTGCTTTGAAAGTCACTAAATCCTGATCCAATATCAGACAATGATCCTTATAAAGAGGCTCGAAGTTGTAGGACATATGATGCAAAAGAATATCAAAGACAAAACATCTTTAACATACCCCCCGCCCCACCACATTCACAGGCGCAGACTCAACAAAAACACAAAATCCAACTCACCAACACCTAGATTAAATCTGAGTCCCCCCAGGAACTCGTTGCTGCTGAGTTTGTCGTGGTCCCACACAGTGAGTTCCAGACATCTTTCCTTGAGATCAGACTTGGACACGTCATCAAACATAAACGTGTGGTTCCACTGCGGGTTACAGTTGCGTTTGACCACGGATGTCTTCTGCTTCAGGCCTTTCTGCTTGTCTGGCAACAAGTACCTATATCAAATCACAAAAGTTAATTAATTTTGTTCATAAATATTTTTGAACCCCATTAAACTTAAAAATTGATTGAAATGTTACTGAAAAAAATGCACTGATAGAACAAGATGTGTTTGTGAAACACTATTCCCCCCATGGTAACACAATTCTGGAGTGGAACGTAGACTGAAGTGGAATACACTTACACTTGACGGCACAATAGTTAGGGGCTAGGTTAAAGTTGACAAAAGACAAACAGATAGACGCGACAAAAAAAATATACCCCCAGGATCTTTCAATCCAGGGACATAAAAGTCCTTGAAAAAATTTATGGTTTTGAATCATTTTTCACTTCATTAAAAGACAAGTCTCACATCACCTGTCATAATTACGAGGAAGAATACATATCTTATCACCTTTTGTCAAAAAAAAAAAACTACTTACCCTTTAACAAAAGGATCAGAAAAGCCACTGCTCCTGACAGCACTCAGGTTTCTGGCCTCTTTAATCAGGACATGGAGTTGACCCTTTGGACCTCCGACCTCTGATCTTCCCCTCTTGACCTTTTTCTTGGAAGGAGATGTCACTGTGTCCTCTTTCCTGACTTTTTCTGGTGGTACAAACTTCATGCTTAAGAATAAGTCTCCCTTGTATGTTAGATTGGCAGTAGGCTGGGACTCAATCTAGAAAACACAGGGTATTACATATATTTTTTATTTTCGATAAATAAAATAAAATAACAATCATCATATCCCTCCGAGGTTTCTATCTAAAAATAATTTTGCATTTAAATTTCAGTAACATGAATTTGATATTCATAACAAATGAAATCAAAAATTTACTTTTATCGACATCAAAGTGTACAATTATGCATTCTGTTTAAATAAAATACCCCACCCCCCTTTTTTTCTCTCCCAGCAATCAACAGATAAAGATGATTTCTTTTAATGTAGCCTATAAAATGCGACGTTTTTTTTTTATAAACCATGTTATATCATCATACAGACCACATTCTGATATTGAACTGAAAACAAAAGTACAATGAATTCCCAATGGAATAATTATTTCCAATATGTTGTGCAGTTCTACAACCTCAATTATGTCAACAGAGAAATTTATTTACAATGGGAAACATGCTGGTGTCAATTTCTCTCTCAGTAATTATACAATGAAATCTATAGAGATGATGCATTTTACAGTATTTCATTTGTCAATGAGCTGAGTATATGCTACGTACGGTGCACAAACAAAAGCATTGTTACGTAATAATTCTCACAATGGTATTGTCTCATTGTATTTTAATGAACATGTACAGCTCAAACCCAAACTAAAGAGGCTATAAGCAATTAACAAAAGCATGCAGCAGATGAAAAATAGGCACAGTTTTTATCACAAGCATGCAGAACTCGATATCAAAGAAAAAAAAGTTTTTATCCAATTCAGGATCAAGCTTTTACTCTGTAAATGGTTTGTGATTTTCGTTTTCAACAAATGCATAATTCATAACGTTGTTAAAAACTTCATAGTACCAGTAATGTCCTTTTTCCTTTCTACAATCATGGTATTGTTTCAATTTTAAAACAATTTGTGTTTTGTGGTTTGGACGAGATAATATTATAACAATGTATCATTAATGTTCTTATACAACATGTACCATTTCAAGTTATCCACAGATTACAGAATGAAAATCTGCAAATATTTAAGCTGGGCCCTAAATATAAATCAGAAATATTGTTTTTTCTATCAAGTTTCCCTTCTTCTTTTTTTTCAAATCTTGATTTTTGTGGGGTCCAATTTTTGAGGTTTGAGGAAAAAATATTGGCTTGTGAAGATTTAATTTTGTGGTTAGAAAATGTTTCTTAATAGTAATGCATATGAAAATTTAACATTTTGTTGTTGTCATAAATCTGTAGGTGTCTGATTATACCTCAAATTCAATGTAAATTAACCCATCCCCCCTGAAAATTAGTAATTTCAAAGCATCTACATCCTCTTGAATTAAATTGTATTAAATGTACATGTATTACTAACTGAGCTTGACTTATTGTATTTAGATATATTTTTCCAAATTGTAATTAATTATTTCTTCCTCTCTATATATCCCCTATGACCTTTTGATACTAATGTATTCATGTATGTCCTACATGTAGCTCTTGCATAAAAATCATAATTTTAAAAAAAAAAATTCTACAAAAGAAAAGGTATCATTTCATAACTAAATACTCCTACCCTCTCTTGAAGTGGGTACCACTTGGCTGAAGAATCAGAGAACCGAAAGTAATCAAAGTTGATGGTGACCTCTCCCAGGAAGTCGTTGCGTCCGAACCGGTCATTGTGCCACACCGTGACCCACAAAGTCCTGTTCTCCAGCTCACTCTTAGAAATCAAGTACTGAAACAAAACACATCAAAAAGTGTAAAATGTTCACTTGGACCACCATTAAATACTGGACTAAATTTTACTTTACTGGAAAGCTGTTTGAAATCTGAATATTTTTAAAATAAAATTTAGAAATCTGAATACCCTTAGAGTCTGCTCAAACACTGGATTTAAGGTGTTCTTCATTATGCGCGTCTTCCTTTTTCCTCCTCGAGTTTTGTCAGGAAGTAGGTAAGTTTTGACATATCTGAAAATTTTGTAATATGTTAAATTTTTCAATTCAACAATTTTCTTCCACATAGTTTGCAACAAAATATTGTCATTAATATATAGTTTTTTCTTTGCAGTTAGATTTTTCTAAACCATGCCTTGCTTGCAAGATTGAAATGCATGATCATACTATGATTTTTTTCCAACTTCAGTCATGTCTAAAATATTATGAAAATGGCAAGAAATTTTTTTCCACCATGATTGTATAAAGTATAAAACTTGGTTATAGGTTGGACCTCAAATTCTGTATCCTAAGTTATCATGCTTATAGCTTTCGAGATTCAGAAATATACTATTACTGAAAATTTTTCTATGAGATTTATAAAAGTTTCATATAACCAAGATTTCCTTCGGAGTTAGTTTTTCATAACAGACTGTAACTGTAGTATACATTCAATGTCTGGATGGGTCAGGTGTACGTACGGATCGGATCTGTTCCTTTTGGTGTCGGCGGGAGCCAGACCTTTACATTGTTTGATCTGTATCTCCAGTGTTCCAGTCCTGTAGTTATACTCCAGACCAAAACATATCTCCCCTGTAACCGGAATCTTCCCATAATCCACCTCACCCGCATTGCTATAGAAACTGAGGATGCTTTCTCGACTATCCTGTAAATATTAATGAATGAAACAATTATTAGAACTTTCCTTATAAATGAGCTTAACAGTAGAAATTTTTTTATTTTATATTCAATAGAACTATCTAAAGATTTTTATTATTAGAACATTTCTTTTATTATTGAGCTAAACAATAGAAAATGTCTTTTATTTCTAATAGTATGTGTATTATCTAAAGATTTGTTCATGTTCTAGATCTCAAGATATTCATTCTATAGTTCAAACTCAATTTTTGAGATAAAATGTCAATTTTTAAAAGCAAACATTGAAAGTTGTGTAACTTGCTCAATACATGATGACTTACAGCTATTGTTGATAGGAGGTTTCCACGACTACTGGCGCTAAGGCAACGATGGGAGGCCACCAGGTCATCAATGTCTGTGTCCTCTGATGAACGCTGAAATTAAAAAAAAAAAAGGTCACAAGTCATTACATGACAGTGCAAAAAACAAAAAGTCTTTGAGCCAATGCGCAATACAAATTCCAGTGCTGTGAATTTAAATTTGGTATGAATAGATGCACGAACAAACTGCAACTTTTATGAAAAAACATTTTTTTCAAAACTAAATCTATTTAATGGGTTCTTGATTTCACTCAACTAATTTCTTTGTACAACTTCAATCTACAGAGTTAATAAAAGGTTTTTTTTTCCCGAAAATGCCTGCAGGAAAATCAATATATTGTCACGGACATCTATATTTAAATCAACACTGATTTAACTATGTCACTGGATTAATTATTTACTGAAACCAATCCAATCATCTGTTAATATTCTCAGTGCAGAAAGTTTGTGCAGCCAGAAAAAGGAGAAATAGGATATACATGTAACCGTAAAACAACTAACTACTTCAATAAAGAAAGACTTCACATTGTTACTTTGCTGTCTCCATTTGTATATGAATAGGGATACCTTCAGATGCAGCTGCTGGTTTGCATCACAGAACTGAAGATGCTTGTTGAGTATTTCAGTATCCTATAAACTTTTGGAAGTTTCCCAATCTCTAGTGTGGAGTTATTGTGATTTGTTTGGGGGCCAATGTTCATGGGGAAGTACAATTTACTTATCTGTAGGGAGTTAATTATGTCAATTCATATGTTAAGGGTGACCCCTGAAATCCACAAATATTGGCCCTAACAAACTTTTATTCCACATTAGACCTAGATTCATAAGACTGTTCCATTTGTGGATGAATTATAATTTTACTTACATCAGTTTGAAAGGTTTATGTATTTGCATCAGTACATGTAACAGTGGTTGATGTACTTATATGTCAGTAACAGTCAATGAAGTACCCATGTCAGTAACAGTGGATTATGTACTTACTAGTATATCAGTAACAGTGCATGGTGTACTAACATCAATTACAGTGGACATTGTACTTACATCAGTAACTGTGGATAAGGTGGATGAAGGCACTGATAGTTGACTGATTGTACTGTCGGTGCGGCGATGCTCCGGAGTGTTTTCTGTAGAAGCACCACTGACATGACCGCTGTCCTCAAAACTTCCCGACCCCTCTGAACTTGCCCTAGGAGACAGGCGGGTGGTTCCTCCTTCTGCTCTCTCTGACAAAACAAATTCAAGGTTAAAAAAATATACCATACAAAACATTTAATTAATTCTACCAAGTGTGCCTTGGGAGTTTCAGATACAAAGTATGACTGCCTTTGAAAAAGATAGTTATAAGATTTCAAAGGAAATGCCTGGATGTTTTCCTTCCCAAAAGAAATGTTTCTGTCCACAAAGCCTTACATATCTAACTAGACAAAGTATGAAAATATATTTCAAACTGTTCTTTGGCTTTAACAAATACCTCTAGCTGATCAAAAATATTTTATCATATTTACTATAATAGTCATTTCTTAGCATATGTACTAAAAAATGTACTAAAGAATTTTTTTTAATCTAAATAAAAAAAATACTGGTGTGCCTAGATTTATCAATTAACATGATAACCAATGCTCTTGCAATACAAAAGAGACGAAAAGCTGAAACAAATGAAACAAGAGGCCCAGGGGCCACAGCGCTAAGCTGAGCACATCAGCTAGGAAAAAAACACATATCAGATCAGAACTGAAAGTTAACTTAAGTGGGGGGGGGGGGGGGGGTCTTGAATTTTAACCCCCAAGGGGATCATAATTTGAACAAACTAAAATCTACATTACCTGAGGATGATTCCATATAAATATTACTAATCATGGCTTTGAAGTGCTTGAAAAGAAGATTTAAAAAGGTTTCCCTATATATTTCTATGTAAAACTTTGGTCGGCCATTTTGGCCCCGCCCTACCCCCAGGGGTCATGACTTGAACAAACTTGAATCTACACTACCTGAGGATGATTCCACATGAGTTTCATCTTTCCTGGCCCAGCGGTTCTTGAGAAGAAGATTTTAAAGATTTTTCCTATATATTCCTATGTAAAACTTTGATCGGCCATTTTGGCCCCGCCCTACCCCCGGGGGTCATGACTTGACCAAACTTGAATCTACATTACCTGAGGATGATTCCACATGAGTTTCATCTTTCCTGGCCCAGTGGTTCTTGAGAAGAAGATTTTTAAAGATTTTTCCTATATATTCCTATGTAAAACTTTGATCGGCCATTATGGCCCCGTCCTACCACCGGGGGTCATGACTTGGACAAATTTGAATCTACACTACCTGAGGATGATTCCACATGAGTTTCATTTTTCCTGGCCCAGTGGTTCTTGTGAAGAAGATTTTTAAAGATTTTTCCTATATATTCCTATGTAAAACTTTGATCGGCCATTTTGGCCCTGCCCTACCCCCGGGGGTCATGACTTGAACAAACTTGAATCTACACTACCTGAGGATGATTCCACATGAGTTTCATCTTTCCTGGCCCAGTGGTTCTTGAGAAGAAGATTTTTAAAGATTTTTCCTATATATTCCTATGAAAAACTATGATCGGCCATTTTGGCCCCGCCCTACCCCCGGGGGTCATGACTTGAACAAACTTGAATCTACATTACCTGAGGATGATTCCACATGAGTTTCATCTTTCCTGGCCCAGTGGTTCTTGAGAAGAAGATTTTTAAAGATTTTTCCTATATATTCCTATGTAAAACTTTGATCGGCCATTTTGGCCCTGCCCTACCCCCGGGGGTCATGACTTGAACAAACTTTAATTTACACTACCTGAGGATGATTCCACATGAGTTTCATCTTTCCTGGCCCAGTGGTTCTTGAGAAGAAGATTTTTTAAAAATGCCAATAATTTTTCTCTTATTCATGATTATCTCCCCTTGGAAAAGGGCGTGGCCCTTCATTTGAACAAACTTGAATCCCCTTCACCCAAGGATACTTTTGGCAAGTTTGGTTGAAATTGGCCCAGTGGTTCTTGAGAAGAAGATGAAAATGTGAAAAGTTTACAACGACAACAACGACTACGACGACAGACAACGGACAAATTTTGATCAGAAAAGCTCACTTGAGCCTTCGGCTCAGGTGAGCTAAAAAATCCATATTGAACACCAAATTGTTGATAAAAGTGCAAAAACGCATGCATGTTTTCTAATGTGCCTTTGTTAATAACTGTCCGTGCAAAATCAAATTTTCAGAAGTCCACCTCCTAGTGGAATGTTATTTGTACAGAAATCATTAGCTATTCACTGTCTCTACAAGCACTGCACAGAAAACCAAGGGAAATGCCTACTGGTTATAAACAGTTATACAAATGTATGAAAGTATTTGAACAAAGCGTTCTTACTGACCCTTACAAGGACATCAAATTTGTAAGCATTTGTGATACTGAATGAATCTTACTTTAATTAGGAAGTACTTTGAAAACATTTGCAACCAAGGGCATTGGCTCCTCTAAAAAAATTCCCTTTTTTTTTTTTTTTTGAATAATTAAATGAATCTGAATGATTCAAACTTAACATCAACATAGCTTTGAATTTTCAAGAGAAAAAATTTAATTAGTATGTTAAGCACTGCCTAATCTAATACTGACATTAACCTTGCTTAACTTTCTTCATTCTCGTTTTCTTTTATTATTAGATGTTTCTAATAACAAAGGATATATATTGCAATCAAAAGAAAAAAAAAATAAATAGCTTGAAACTATAAGAGTAAAATATAAATCATAATTAATACCTCACTGCGTTTGTTCTTATTGAAGATGACAGAGAAAAAACAGAAATCAAAACCATTAATTCCCAACACCTGCAGTACATGTAACTAGCCAACATCACAAAGGTCTTTGAATCTTTAGCATCCATGTCCAATCAAGTTGATTGATTTTTGGAATAAGTCTATCATGTTGATTATATAAACATACAATTTTGTTGGAATAGGCCTGTTCATTTTACTTAATGAGGGTACCCGAGCCACAAGTTGCGTAATTTTGAAAATAATTTGGTTTCCATGAAATGCTGATAAACAGTTGTGACTTGTTTGTAACAATTAATGAAAGGTTGCCAGCTTTTTACTGCCTTAAAAATATTCAAAGCTAAAAACTTTGTTGATGTTGCATAATTTTGAGGCTTTGAAGTGGTTAGAAGGGAGAATTCCAAGGCGGGGAAATTTAGTGTTGCGAAATGATGTGACAAATCAATTTTTCTACATGAATTGTTAAAAAGAGTTCTTTTTTTAAATAGAAATGTTCAATAAAATATTAAATTTTACAAGGTATTCTGTACTTTGAACCATGTTCTGCACTTTAAAACAATGCACTTTAGATAAATTTTAGAATAGAAAGCTTATATGCTTAAAATGGTCACTTCATTTCACACAAAGAATGATGAATTATAAAGGAAGGATCTACCTCAGCGAGGCAAGCAGAAAAAAAGTAGGATACCTGAGTGTTCCTCTATCTGAAGAATGGGGACAAAAGGAACAGTGCTGGGGTAAGAGTCAGCAGATTTCTGACCACCTTCTGATATAGGTCGGGAGAGAGGGGCAAGGGCAGGGGCAGGTGTGGGAGGAACAACCCCCTCAGAACCCTCCCTCAAAAGCCATTCCTCCATCAGAGGACTAGGTATGTCGGCAGGGACATCCCCCATGACTTCCCCGGGAACATCTGTCTGAAGCCATTCCTGAACCAACTGTTTGCTTTTGGTTCTTTTTCTGACTTTTTCGGTTTGGCTGTTTGGAGAAGAGTCTTGCACATTGTTGTCCTCTCTGTTATTTTGGCTTTGGATGATCTGTTGCAGCAGGAGGTCCTCACTTGCTTGGGAATCTTCCTCATCCAAACATACTTCTGCTTCCAGGGAAGACACCAAGTTCTCAGTGGAGGTGACAGACTTATCAGCTGGAGATTCAGAGGTTTGTAAGGTCATCATTGCAATCTTGCTAGAAGTCAGCAACATCTTGCCAAGACTGCTTTGTGTATTATGGAACTCACTGTTTTCCTCTTTTTCATGAATAGGAGAAGATTGCAAATCATTGCTGGTGTCTTTTTTATTCAAATCTTTTACATCAGTCACTTCTTCTTCAAGATAGTCAGTAGAGGACTGTTCATTTAAACTTGGGTCTAAAACTATCACATTGGTATTTGTCAGTGTATCTATTTCACTCTCTGCTTCTACTTTGACTTTCATTTTATCAGTCATTTCAGTGAGTATTATATTTTCATCTATTCCCTCTGAATCATCAACAATTATCTCATTTTTATTTTGACTGTCAACATGCACTTCTTCAACATTACTTTCTGCACATTCTGTTAATAATGCAGTATCCTCCTCTTCTTTAATGTCATGCAAATGCACTTCTAAATCTTCATTGCTATTGTCACTGCTATTATTCTCCTCCTGAATAACACTTAGTGCATCTGATTCTGTGCTCAGAGAATCAGTTGATGTTGCAAATGTTTTTCGTAGGAATGCTCTATTCTGTGCATATGTTTGCTTTTGTGGTGACTCTTGGACACTTCCAAATACTTGCTGAAACTCATCTTTCAGTGAGTCATCTTCAAATCTCCACAGGGATGACAAACTTTCATTTTCATTTGCTTTCTGTACTTTTTCTTTGAAATCTTCTGATTCCTCACCATTACGTTCCTGACTCTGTGAACTATCATCAACAGAGAACCGGAATTCATGGTGCTCTCCAAATTCCTTTTGGAAGCTTCTAGTATTTTCTTCTACGCTGTCCTCCACATTTTCCGCAATTTCCTCAAGGTCTCTGTTGCTGCCAGTACTTGGCCTAAAAGATTTTTTCCTTCTTTTTCGAACAGGTTTTCTTTTTGGTTCACTTGATTCTAGATCAGTTACAGCTTTGTTGAAGATTTCATCAAAGTCTTCTTCAGGTGTTCCAACATTTTCCAAGCTTTCATTTGTCCAAACACTGTCATTTACAAAAGCAAAAGTATAAGTCTGTGGTTTGGTTCCAATCTTGCTGTCAGACAGAGGAGTCAGTGGGGAAAGATTGAAGCTTTCAATTGATTCAAACCTATTCTGCCTGTCATCAATGGAAGATAACCTAAAATTCTGAAAGAGTGAAGACTCCAGCAGTGAATCAAAGCTGTCATGTTTACCAGAATCATCCAGGGCAATATCTTCATCCACTTCTTCCAGATTTTTCTCCTGACCCTCACCATTTTCTTGCAATCCTTTTGCTAAAATGCTTTCTTCATTAGGGCCTTGAGCACTGCCCTTTTGAAGACCCTGTTTCTGTGTAACAGAATTCTTATTTCTCTCTGTTGAAATATCTAATTTCTGATTGGTTGGTAGATCTGTCTCTTGACTGGTTGTGTGAGCTGTTTTCTGACTGGTCACACCTGTCTCCTGATTGGTTGTGTGAGCTGTTTTCTGACTGGTAACGAGATCCATATTTTGATTGGTTGCAAGATTTGTTTTTAGATTTGTTTTTAGATCCATTTCTTGGTTGGAGTCAGTTGAGTCAGACTCCAAGTCATCTGGGTTGAACATGATTAGCTTCTTTGACACCCCAGATTCAGTCGCATCTTCTTTCGGTTTCACTTTACTAGACTTTGAATTCTTAGTATTTTTTTCTTGTTTTGAACTAATATTTGTGTTTTGTATATGGTGAACATGTTCTTGTTTTAATTTAACACATTTTCCTTCACCTCCACTCACAGACTGTTCCTGAACACTTGCACTCTTTTGTCTCTCCTTTTTCTGTGGTCTGGGAGATTTCTTTCTCCTTAGAGGACCTAAGTCTGACTGCGGCTGTGTCAGAATGGATCTGGAGACTTTCGCTAAATCACTGATATCATACACTTCAGGATCCAAGTGACAGTCTCTCTCAATGTCAAACAATGATAAATCTGAAGACACATTGGAAGGAACTTCACAATCAGATGTGTCCAATATTCTCACAAATTGATGGTGATCTGGGACCTTTTGGGAGACATTTTGAGGAGATACTTGGGGGGACTTAGAAGGGGAAATATTTTTAGATATGTCTAAAGGAGAGTTGCCCAACTGCCCCTCTCTCACCACACCTACAACAGAGGGATCACACCCAGGAGGTGGACCTATGAAATGAAAACATGCACACATTCACACATAATATTGAGAAAATTTAAACCCAAGGAAGCTAATGAATAATAAATCAAAATGTTGTAAGGAAATATTATCATTACATGCACTTTAGGCTAAAAGTTAACTTCTAAATTTTAGATTATATAATTTTTTCTGTGTTGCAGACTACATCAGGGAAATTAATAGTTATATATGCATCAGCTTACTGTTTAAATCACATCACATGTAGAAAATCAAAATTGAAAAAGCAAACACTTATTAACCAAACAGCATGAACAGTGAAGAAGTACAATAGTGAATACAACACCAGTTTAAAACTAAAATGACTTACTTTTCGTCTTTCTTTTCTCCACATAATTTTTGGACATCCGTCGAAATCGAACTTTGGATAGTTCTTCTACCACATAATCTTCAGCACCACTACTGCTCTCCCGAACATGAGAGGATTCTGTACCACTGTAATCCGCAGTACTCATCCGAGACGTAGAATCTGTGTCAGATGATTCTCTACTAACATGATTGTCCCTCTTTTTAACAGGTAAAGGTGAATTTGCATGAGATGAAGGAATACTGTCAAAAGAGTAGGGGGAAGGGGATCTCCCTGGCTCATACCTTCGGGGATCTACGTGGTGAGAATTACTTTGGTGGTTTTGATTGGGAGTTAATGAAGGACTTGTACTTTTCATGGCCATTATCATTTCTGTAGCAGTCTGTTTCTGATTACCTTTGGGTGACTTGTTTTTCACAATATCCTCAACAACTTTTGATTTCACACTTGGTTTACTTACTGACGGTGGTGGTGAGTTTGATTCATCAGAATGTACATCTACTTTAATCTGCGTCTCTGTGCTGCTTTTCGAAAATGGAACCTCGTCGGACACAAGTGTTTGAACCGAATCATCAGAAAAGTTCCTCTGTAAGTTTTTATCCTTTGAAACATTACTTTTGTTAATATCTGTCCCAGAGCTTGAGGCTGAGATATTTTTACTGGCACTATCGACACTATCCCCTTTCCCACTGGGCAAAGACTTTCGGACTTCCTCTTGATTTTTCTCTGTGTCTGTTGACACTGAAGAGTCTGAATCGGAATCAGATTCCTCATATTTTTTAGATGTCACTTTTCTCACTGTTGAGTGAGATTTACTTGAAAGCTCTTTGGTTTTGGGCACTCTAAAGGCATCAAATAATTGGTTAAGTTTCCTTTGATCCGATTCTTGTGGGAATTCAACCCTGTCTTTCTCATGTTTCTTGTCTTTTCCCTCTGATTGCACACTTCCGTTGGATAAAGGTTTTCCATTCCTGATTTCGTCCTTTGTTCCACTGGAGTCCAATATTTCACTGTCACTACTTGCTCCTGAAATATGAATAGAACATTGTTAACAATAATCTAAACTCATTACTACACTTTCTTTTTAATTTACATCTCTGTGGTTAGAATAAAGTTGATACTATAGTAAACCCTCACAACCTCTTTATCAGTGATTGCATATATAATGTTTAATAGTATAGATATGTCAAGATTAATCTCAAAATGATATTCAACAGTTCAAAAGATCTGGAAAACAAAACACACTAAAAAACACAATACATATAAAATATCAATATAATAAAATAACTATTTTTTCAACTATTTTTATTGTGATTCCAATATAATTAAAACTGGCTCTTTTTTTGGCATTACTCCAAATGATCCAATAAAACAACATATTGTATCAATTTAATTAATAATATCTAATTTAAAACTACATTTTGTGATTCTATTATCATTAAAATGATTTTCCCCAACAGTCCAAATGATCCAATATTCTGCCTCTGCAGCAAGCAGACATAAAGCAGACATATTTCCAGCCCAAGAAATATACACAATAATACAGGAAGAATGCAAATGACACCTGTCAAGAAAATAACGATACTGGTGCCAAAAAGAATGTTTGTTACAAAGTGATCACCATAGGCCAGAGGGGGAAGTGAGGCCCCTGGTGATCAATATCAGGACTGCAGACTCCAGGGTTCTCCATTATATGCTCTGGATGTCCTCAATGACAGTAAAATATAAGCATTGCTTGGGCAGCTGTCTGGTAAACATACAATGCATTCATCACTATATTGGCAGAAATCATTAGTAGTATATAAGCAATATTTTATTGTAATGCCAATCTCTCTTGGTGAGTATTAAAAAAGTAGTCCTTTGTTATTCAGTGTCTTAATGCATTTTTTTTTCTTTACATCTTATATATCTTTTTCCGAAATAGGGATTCCTTTATTGATGAAATTTTGTCTAGCAAAACTTTATATAACAAACCACAGACTCAGCTGGGAAATACAGAGAGAAAACAAATCAAAAGTGTATATATATATATGCCATGGCTTGATTCCACAATCTGGAGACTAAAAACTTCTACTCCTCAATGACTCTCTGGATTATTTCAATTGATCAAATCAAACATATAAATGAATTATTCATCACTTTCCATCAATGAATATCTACCCCCCCCCCCCCTCCTTTTTTTTTGGGGGGGGGGTGTTGGGTGTTGATTTTTTCAGATATTATTAAAACCAAAATGAATGAATTTTTCAAAGTAAGTTGCATCAAATATTTATTGATGTCTTGCTTTTGATGCATCTACACAAGGTGTATCTAAAATTGAAGTATATAATATTACCAATTCAACATATTTTCCTCTTTATCATTTTAATCAATCAAAATATATATATGTGATGAAAATTAATGGTCAATTTTCCATGTTGCAAACAGACTTACAATCATGAAAATAGAGAGACTTCATGAAGAATTAAGAACAAACAAATTTGTACTGTCACACTAACATCACCATCAATATTGGATGCACACCTGATTAAACATGCAAATTGAATCGAGTCCAGGTTGAACCTTTTATCAGATTATTGATGAGCTCTGGCAATTAATTAACTAAATTAATTTACCTTGTGCCTCCTCTGTTTTGGAGGCATGCGAATGACCAAATTGTCAAAAACAACACAGGAATCTTTGTAAGAAAAAGTTTTCAGTTTTTAACATGCTTTCTTCATATCAATAATTTCACACACGACAAATTATTGCACAGAAATTCAATTCAAAACTTTCCCTTGAATCCAACTAAGATTAATTTAAAAAAAAAAAAAAAAACAATTCCATAATGTAGGAGACAGCTATAGATTCCATGTTTTAGGGTGATAAATTATCCATCACTTGGATATCAATTTTTTGTTCCTCTTCATTAGACTATATAATTCCCATCTGTAATACTTCATACAGAACTTATTATTACAGGCGAGTCAAGGATCAACTGCTTTCCATATCAAGAACACAAAGCTGCATATTGACGTCCTCAAATGGAAAGAGAGCCATTCAATTCTTAGAGCATTGCAGGGCCATATGCATGAAGCGACCGTAAAACTATATACTAATAGGACTGAAACAAATTTATATATATTTGACTCTCCAAGAAACAAACTGCACATTTATATTATGTAAGTATATACAAAGGCATTGGCCTTCTGGTTATATATATAAAGAGAGAAAAACAGATCCAATATTGTCAACAGCAAATTCAAAGACTCTATTTTCATCATGGATGAACAACTGAATACTTAATGAACAATCAACTTTTTTTTTCTATTATCTCAAACCATATAAAGCTCTATTCATTTATTATCTATTTCTACCACATTTCAAATCACAAGATGACTGAACACTTCCAAGAACAGAATTTTGCTTTTAATAGTGGCAATTAACCTTTTAGATTTAAGTTGAAAGAATTAATTTTGAACAATGCATGTGTTCTCTTTGTCCTTTAACTAAGAGTGTGACATACCATTTTTATCATTTTTAAAATAACAACATCTATCCATTGTTTAAATTCATATAGGGTCTTTGATAGTGTTTTCCAACAGCAGCTTCTTGATTTGATACAAATATAAAATAGAATTGATGTGAGTTTATTATATACATGCAAAGACCAATTGACTGAATGATTCATCCATTTTTTATTCACTTATTTATTTATTTATTATTTGCAATCTATTTTGATTTTCTTTAAAAACTTAATCAAGCTCAAAACACTACCTTTAAGAAAGATGAGACATGTCAAATGAAATCCTCTGGTTATACTTAGGTCAACAGCTAAAATCAGGTGAGGATTGTACAATAAAGGTACTTCAATCTATAACTACATAAATTATTTTTTTACTCTCATGAAAATATCATTTTAAAGCAAAGGATATTTGTTAGACATTGGCACCCCCCCTTCCCCCCTCCTTACACACACATAATAAATGAAAGGTCTTCAGATCACCAAGGTTCAAATTTCTAAAATGCAATGTAAACAATGTGTCAAGAGATCAAAATGTAGGTACTCAAGGAAAGGTCATGTCATAAGGAATGCACAAATGAAATATGAAAGATTTAGCAATAGCTGTTCAAAATTACGGCAGAAACACCGTGTATATCCCAACATACGGGATGTATACTATGTTGTGCGCGGGGTGTATGCTTCCGAAGCGAGAGAAAGGGGGTCAATGTAGGTTCTTTGTCCATTTTCTCAACTTACAGATATTTTTCGCCAGAAAGCATATGCCTACGGAAGAAAGCATTATCTAAGGAGTATATGGATACCTATGAATCCACTGGAAACCTTCTAGTTTTATCAAACACCTCAACACAATTCCGAGGATCGGAACAAGATTGACTCTACACTGTGTTTATGATCAAATATCAGAAGAAAGCTTTGCTTTATCATCACTTTTATATTATTATTAAATGCATGTTTACTACATAAACGTTTGTACAAATTGTCTGTAAATAAAACAGTTCGTATATAAAGATATTGACGAAAAATCAATGTTGTGTCCGGGGTGTATGCAACATGTTGTACGCGGGGTGTATACCCCATATTTTTCTTAAAATTGTTAGTGCGAGGTATCTATGGAAATATTATTTACACAGGTTTGTAAGCGACAGGTAGTGTTGATAAAAGACCTTAATAGTAATGCCAAACGAAAAGGTAAAGTCCATAAACATACTGAAGTATGAAACAAATTAACTAATTTAAAAAATTTTAAAAATCAAAAGAATAAAAAAAAAATAAAGATAAACTATCATATTCAAACATAAAAGGCGCTTAATGTGCAAGAAGCGATTGTTATCTGATTTCATGCTACAGTGTAGATGGTGCAATGGTCTAAATCTACATAATCATAAAATATCTAATCTCTCCAAAGCCCCCCCCCCCCCCTCCCTGCATTGAGGACACTTTGTCCTTTCTTTGGATTATTTTAATATAAATATTTCGCCTGTTAAATATAATAGAAACACTACATGAATGGTGTATTATGCATAAATCTCTTTTTTGTTTCTGCAAATTTTATTTCATCAATACATGTATTCTTAAGCATTTATGACAGTGATGTAGAATCTTTTTTGTAGGGGGGATACCTGAAAAAAAACCTTGACATAAGTTCACTAGCTAAAAAAAAAGGGGGGGGGGGTATCGAAACTCAAAACTCCTATTTCAGAGTGGGTTAAAGGTCGCATCTTTTTTCATTAACAATTCTCCTTTTTTTTTTTTGCTTAAACATATAACATAATCATTCTTCAACAATGCTGCAATTAACAAAAAAAAAGGGGGGGGGGGGGCTATTTGACTTTCGATGAACATTTTCTGTAGTGAAAAGTTGTGTTTAGAACAAAAGGGGGGATATTACGTGTTAGTATGATATACAACATCAATTTTTCTTTCAATTTTTGCAATATGTGGACTCAATTTTCCTTATCTGAAAAGAATATATATTTCACAAATCACAATAAACATGTAAAGCCAGCTATAAAAATGCACATTTGTAATAAGGAACGACAATTTTCTGAGGGCATGCACCATTGAAAAAAAAACTGTTTTGGGTACAATTAATTACAATTTTACGTTGACGTGTAATGAATACCAATTAATGTTCACCCCTCTTCTAATTTATTATCGAAAGTTATCCCCCCTCCAATAAAAATGACCTAAGCCCCCCCCCCCCCCTTTCTGGGCCCATTCCTAAAAAATATGTACTCAGTAAAATACAATGCCTCAATTTAAAACAAATAGTTTACTGCCAAATATGAGCTCCTGGGAGCAAAGTACACAGCATATAAATACTACATGAAGGAAAAAAAAATTGCGGTATTTATGACATTATGTACAAAAAGCTAAATATTTTCAATAAAAGGGGTGTGGAGATAACGAACAATATTTAATCTCAAAGTCCATAAAATAATACAAAACAAGAGCAGAGCAAACACGGTCCTACGAAACATCAGAGGTGGGATTAGGTGCCATGGAGGAGTGAGCATCCCCT